TCCTGCCCCTGCCCCAGGTGAGAGCAGCCCGCGGGCACTGAGCATCCCTGCATCCCTGCTCCCCTGTGCATCCCTGCACCCTCCACCCCCGGACCCCAGTGCGGCCCCCCGCCAGCATGAAGAGGTGCAAGTCGGACGAGCTGCAGCAGCCCGAGGAGGACGGCGCTGGGGCTGAAGAGGTGCCCGGGGATGGCAGGCCCGGGGAAGGGGCCGTGGCTCCGGTGGTGGCCGAGGCGGGCGCCACCGGGAACCCCAACCCCGTGCCCCAGGCTCTGGCCCGGAGCAAGCCTCCCGACCTAAAGGTGAGTCTTCCGCTGCAGCCGGGGTCCCACCCTGCCCTGCCCTGCCCTGCCCTGCCCTCGTGCCTGGTGTCGCAAGCGTGGGAACGTGGCGTCCGAGCAGGGGGATGGATACCTGTCCTCCGCCTCGCTGGGCCGCGGCAGGGTTTTGTCTCGGCACCGCAGTGCCCTGATGCATGCAAGCAGAGGGGTTTACCTCTCTCCATCGTCCTCGCTGCAAACCGTGGGGGACCGGAAGACGAAAAGGGGACCGCAGTCACGGGCTCACCTGCAGAGAGGGTGCGATTTGCTGAGCAATGGTGCTGGGGAAAACCCCACCAGGGGCTTTCCAAAAAGAGAGGGTATCCCACCCCACAGAGCACAGGGCTAGGGCACAGGAGACCTGTGGGCTGTTGGGTGACCTTGGCCCACCCGCTTCCCTGTCCTGCACCTCTCTTTTCCCATCTGCAAAATAGGGAGGATGAAACTTGCCTCTTCGGCAAAGCGCTTTGCAGGCTGGGGGCACGTGCTACGGGAGAGGAGCTAAGTATTATGATTGTGAGCACCAGACTGTAGGTACAGTAAATCAGGGACTGGCTGTCACGTGTGTTTGTACAGGCATGAGGAGGCTGGGGGCTGGATGGGGCCATTAGGCACTCGTGTAATGTAAGTAATAAGAATAAAAAGGCTGCAGTTTGTGAGGCGTTAGGAATAACGGGCTGGCAATTATGGACTTTACAAACTGATGTTAATCTCCTGTTAAGAGGGTCCTTGTGGAAGAATATCTGCACCCCAGATTAAATGCAGCGTAACTCCATTGCTTTAAAGGGAGCTCTGCTGCAGTGACTGAGATGAGTGTCTGGTTCTGTGCTTTTGGACCTGGAGCACAAGCTTTGCTCGGATGGAGCTGCCTGAAAGGACGAGGGAGGGAGGCAGAGCCTGCGTTCTGCAGAAGAGCCAAGCAGGTCTTGCTAAGTGAAAACTCTAGTAACCCATGGCAGCAAGCAGGAAGGAGCTAAACAAGACTACTCCTCTGCCCTAATAGGATTACAGTGCAGTTATAGTGAGAAAAGTGACTATGAATATGAGCCTTTTCTCCCTTCCTGCCTTTGGGCCATGCCTCCTTTTACAGACGAAAGCAAGCTTTTTGCAGCAGTGCAAGAAAGCTGGGTTCGACTTTGCCTCATGCATTGTAGTTAGGGGCTGCAGCTCGCGAGTTCTTATTTATCACTCACTGGGTACATCTACACGTTTGTTAGTGCGCCGTCGTTACGGCGCATTCAGTTTAGTACTTGGATACTAGCTACTAAATCAATGTGCAGGAACTGGCGCTACTGCGCAGTAGCTACAGCACACAGGTTTTTACAGACGTTAACTATGCACTACCTTAATACTACCGCGCAGTAGCGTATTAGCACGCGTTTTGCCCCGCACGCTACTGCACCGTGTTGTTAGGCTACTGTGCAGTTAGCGTCTCGTGTAGACGTGCCCACTGTGAAGCAGAAAGCCAAAAGGGCAAGTTCGGAAGTCCCAGGTAGAGCGTAGGTCGCTTACGTTTCACTTGGATTTGAAAACAGCCATGCTGATCGGGAGTTGTTAACAGTGGAGCATGATGGCAGTGTGACAGAGGGGCTTGATTTGTGCTTTTTCCAGAGGCTAATTTTCTGGCTGCAACTATTCGTCAGAATCGGCAGGCACTGCAGAGCATTTCCCTGGCACTGTATTTTAAACACAGGCTCAGATGCATCTTCTAACACTTGTTATAGTGTCTTCATAGCTTACACTCCTGGGGAGCAAGGTGCTGGATAAAGGTGAGGAAGCATCATTAGCCACAGACAGGGGACTCTGTGGTCCAGAACACCACATCTGCAGCTAGTGTGAACCCAGCAGAGCTATGGGTTGTGCCAGCTGCAGATCTGGCCTTGAGAGCATGGATATCATGGCCACAGTCGCACAGCAAGCCAGGGATGGAGCCCTGCAGTTACGACTTCCAGGTGAACGCTTTACCTCTATCTGCCGATGGGTGCCAGCCCCCCATGCGGAGGTGCAGTGAAAGCGTACTGCCTCCTGATGGAGTTAGCTCCTTAGGAAAGCTGACTTCTCTCTGAGGTCATTTAATCCAAATTGCTGCTGCATTGGACTCCTTTTCCCTTCTGGAGTGGAGCTCTCTGCCTCTGTCACTTCTTCCAGGCTTTATGATTACTGACCTGCACCTGTCACCATCACCCTGTAAACAGCAGTGTATGAAGCTATGGATCGCTAAGGGCATAACAGAGGGCCAGAGCCCACAGCCATCTGCTTTGAGCAGCACGTTTGCCTCTCCTCTGGGCTCTCCGGGCGCTGTCAGGCCTGCCAACGCTGGACCCAGAGGGAGGGAGGGCCCTGTCCTGAGGGAATAAGGGAGACTTGAGTCCTGCACAGGCCTTGCACTGGCCCCCTGCAGAGGGGGGATTTTCCTCCACTGCCCACCCTAGCTGCCTCCCCTTGGTTTGAATCCATGTCTGGCGGATCACTAATCAGGTTTAGACCTAGATAGTTAAGATTTTTAAGAGGGCAAAAGCTGCTCAGGGGAGCATTAAGGGGTTCTGACACTTACAGGATGCTGCCATGGGGTTAAATCCACAGCTGAGCACTGCCTGAAGAGATCTGATATAGCCTGAGTTTGGGAGGCCTCAGTCTCTGTGCCTGTTGCACAAGTCTCTTTGTCATGGCTGGCACAAGCGCCCTCTCTTCTTAGCCATCACAGCAGAGTGGCCAATGACTGAGCCAAGGAGTCTGACCTGCCCCCTCTCCTCTGCACGACCACTTCGCGTTGCAGTTGAGCGGCCTGAGCGAGGCAGGGTGAGGGTCATTGGCACCACTGCTGCAGGAGCCTTCTCTCTTCCGTGGCTAAATCAAGCACCCAAGTCTGCAGGAGTCCCTTACAATTAAAGGGAGCCATGGATGTGAAAATAAAGAGCCGCACACGCTTTCCAGTGCTGTGTAAGGAAGAAACCAGGAGGAGGTGCACTTCTGGCCTGGCCAGAGCATGCTTTATTAATATCACTGGTAGTTAGGTTTTTAATTTATATGAAGCCACAATCAGGCTGCACCTCTAGCCTTGGCAGTAGCCAAAGCCTTTCCTAATATGGGACCTGATCCATCTCCCACTGAAACCAGTAGCCTAAGTCCCATTGTCTTTGCAGGTGTGGGAACTCACTCCCTAATGCAGATTTGCTTCTAGATTCATGACGTTAAGCTCATTTGGAGCTTTGTTGCCTGCTGTCAGCGTAGAGTGAATCATCAAACCTGCCTTTGCTGGGCAAAGCTCATGCAAAGCAATGTCTCACTGCTTCCCACAGCTTTCACAGGACTCCTGGGCTTCTATTCCCGGCACTGGCACTGACCAGCTGTGCAAACTTAGGCTGGTCACTTGATCATTTTGTGCTAATCTCTCTGTCGCTAGAAGGTGGATGATAATTTTAGAGCATCTGCCGAGGTGCTAAGAGATGTAATTAATGCTTTTGAGTTTAATTAGCGTGTGTTTGCAAAATGGTTTGCGATCAGATAAAAGATGCTCCTGTAGAGGTGCACACTTGTGTTGTAAAATATTGTCATGCCAAAACCCTGGGGGCTACTGGTGCTGTTCTTCCCTGAATAACTGCTTGGCACCGAGACTAAGGAACACACAGATTAGCCTTCAGTGATTGCAGCGTGTGCTGCTGGAGGGATTTGGGAGAGATTAGCACCTGCTGGTCATCTAGCCCTGGAGATTTCTTTGACTGATACCAGGAGCGTCTACATAAGATGCTTAATGCGCAGTAGCCTAATAACACTGCACGGTAGCACATCACAGCACAGACAGTGCTAATACGCTGCTGTGCAATATTATTAGGCTACTGCACAGTAGCGTCACTAGAAAGGCATTCACCGGCACTACTGCGCAGTAACTCTAGTTATTGCACGTTTAGTTAGTACTTCGTTAAGCAAGTATTAAATTAAATGCTCAGTAACGACTGCACGTTAATGAACGTGTAGACACGCCCACCTTCCCTTTCTGCTGGCATGTTAACAGGTTTAGCACGAGGCACAGATAGCCCAGCTGCTCCACTGCTCTGACTGCTTTGCTGTTGCCTGCCGAAAAGGGGATCACGCCTGGTTTGGCATCCTCATGGCAGGGGCATGGGTGGTGGGTGAGAAGGAAACCAGGTGAGGGGATAGGGGAAAAAATAGGAGAGAGTGGCTGGGATGGGCAAGCCACAGAGGAAAATCGAATAAGGGGGAAGCAGAAAGAGGGTATGGAAGGCACAGAGAGTAGTTGCACGAGACAAGAGAAAGGAAGAGGATAAAAACATAGGCTGACTCTGCTGTTTCTTGCTGTTCTACCTGATCAGGATTAGGTGCCTACAAGGCCTGGAGGGGGGTTTGCAGTCAGTGGACCGTGCAGTCCTTTGTCCCTGTAACACAACTACCATTAACAGTACTGGTTACGGTGGCTCTGTCCTGTGAACACCAACAGATCAAAAACCACCGTGGAATCCCCCAGTGAGCACCGAACAGATATCAGACGTCAACTGTTGCTCAGTGCCCACCGAGGTTGGATTCAGGCTGGCAACTTGGGAACAGAGGGCTCCATTGTCGTCTTTATGTTCGCTCAAAACCAGCCAGTCCCCCTCGCTGACAAATGCACGACAGCTTTTCTTTTACAAGTGTAACTCCGGCTCCTTTGATATGAGCAAGCTTTCCATCACACACACAAATGTCCTGGCAAGGAGCAGAGCAGATGCATGACACATAAGTCTGCCTATAAATATGTTGGGTGGCAGATATTTTTGAGTGCTGCAGCAGCGTGACTGAATCCATACAAAGCACCGCACAAGAAAGCATCCTTGGCCCTGGGCTTCGACTCTCGGAGGCAGCAGGCTGGAAATCTTGTGGCGGTGATGCCATGAGGGCACTGGATGCTTAGATTGCATCCTTCTCTGATCTGAGCATCTTCATCTGCTCTTTTTTTTTCATAATTGGGCACTTTGATGGCTGCAGAA